CAGAGACGCAGAGGGTCGACGGCAGTGACCGTCCCGCACGGTTGCGTCATAGGAGCCACCGAAAAACGATGGGTCTTGCGACGAAGTAGGGGATATATCCCCAAGGTTGGGGATATATCCCCAAGTTGGGTGAGGGGAGGGATCCCCAAGGTTGGGGATCCCTCCCCTAGTTGGGGCTTGCTGCACCCGGCCCTAGGCGTTCGTGGCAGACAAAGAGTGGTCAGGTAATTCCCCCTAGGTTTAATGTAGCAGAGTATTCAAAGTGGCCAACATCAATGGTGAATGCTGCACTATAAAATACAGACTAACCGAGCTGCCAAAAATTCTCTTCCAAAGGCATGGGACCAAATTTTTAAGAATATTAAAGGCAGGGTAGATGTCGTGGAAACTTTGAAGGAGATTCATAAAGGCCATATTGGTCAAACGTTGCTACTGTTGATATTCAGTTTCAAACTATCACAATCACTTTGTCACCATATTTGGGCCCCACAAAGTAGTTGAAGCAATGAAACAGGCGGATTTACCTGATTGACGATCTGCTCACTCTCGGCATCGTCGGTCTCATCGCCAAGAGCATCGTCGATAGCATCACCCATGATTTCCTCTTTCATATCCATAATTTCGCTCTGCTTTTCAAACTGGAATCGGAAAAAAATGCTTAGCATTTTAGAAAGACAACACAGCACAACAGTTTCGGTAAAGGGTCCAATAATTTCACTTAGGCGTTCGAAAATTTTTATGTCTAGCACTTCACTAGATAAAGCAGCATTCAGTACGTCATTTTGAGTTAGTCTAGCTTCGCTTCAGCGAAATCAATTTTTCTTAGATACAAGAAACGCAAAGTGGTGGAAGAATGGGACTGATATCATCTATGAACAAAAACAAAGCCAAGGAGCAACCACAGGTTTAAGTGAAATCCACAAATGCTCAAAGGAAAAGGTTGCATCTAAGCATTTTGAACTTCATCAGACTAATTCCACAGTTCCAAAACAGACGCACTCTGGAAGCGGAATTGAAAACTGAATCGCGAGCCCTTGTGGTAATTCTTGGAAACAAGTAACCGGTATAGCATTGTGTACTGATCGCTTACAGGTTCCATTATGCGCGCTACTTTCATTCAAAATCGCAAAGGCTTTTGAGGCCACACCAGGCGCACAGAATAAGGACGGTCCGGTCCATCTACATTTCAGAGTTTCAGGCAAGTATCATTCTAACCCCGAAAATTCGAACTTGACATCAATATCTAGCAAGAGTGGGAGAGCAGCAAAACGAAGTTTGCTAGGGAATTCTGACTTAAGCAATGTATGCAAAGCAGTTCATAAAATAATACTGAGATTTAAAAAAAACCGGCCATTGACTGAATGTTATGTAAAATAAGAGCATATACTTTAGCTGGAAGATATAATGATGGAAAAAGCGTTAAATTTCAGCAGTCTAGTCACTGAAAAACTGTTTCTTGGATAGAAAAAGCAATGCATTCACATCAAAGTGTCGCAGTGTGTGATGAGAAAATTGTATACCTCCATCATGATTTTCTGAATTTGCGGGAGATTCAGTTGTCGGTTCATTGATTGCATTGCTCTCGTGACTCCTTTCATAGCCTGGAATAGGAAACAACAATGATGTAGAAAATCAAAAATTGAGTACTGAAAAGTGCCCGTGAATCAAGATTGGAAAATGATCCAGAGCATTAACAAATTCCCTGCAAAACTGCCTAATGGTTTCGTTAGAAAGTGGCCCAAAAGTAGAAGTTGAGAATAAAACTGAAAAGAATCGTAAGACCAGCTGCAGCAAACGGGGAGAAGTGTATTACCGGTTGATTGTTTTAGGTTTGCATCATGAAATGTAACTTGAATTATCAAAAAAGAACTCCATGAGCAAAGTGGATGTGAATCGAAATTTGATTGATTATGAGGTGAGGGAATTTTATTTTCAGATGTCAAGAGTAAAAATTAAACTTTTTGTGAGAATTACATCACGTACCTGTGCCATAGCGTCCTGACTTTTTAGGGTCTGAACCTTGAGTGAGACAGCTTGGATGTTGGCCTTCATGATAATGAACTTCTTGATGTAACGACGAGTGCGTACAAGGTCTTTCGCCATAACTTTCACTGAATCCTGATGAAAGAAATCTATCAGCCAAACTCATAAAAAATCTTAGAAGCACTTTATCAATTCGACAAATTGGATGGGAACAGAAAATGAAAGAGTACAGCGTAAGTTCAATTAATCTATTTAACACACTGTCTTTCATCTTTTCTTAAACTCTTCGGATTATGAAAAATGAAGGGCTGACCATCTGATTCTGCTTTGCCATCTTTTTGATTTCCGCAATGACTTTCTTCTCCTGCATCTCCATGCGCGATTTCTCTCGGTCGAGCTCTCGAATTGCTTAAATATTCTAATAGTTCATAATAGTCTATTAGAATAGAGTCTCTTTCTCTTGAAGCTTAAGCTTATACACTAGTTAGTGGCTCTGCATAAGAAACAAGTAAGTAAAAACCTGTCGACAAAGAAAAGAACACAACTGTCAATTTGAAAGTGCAGGACTAACTACTTCAATTTCACATTACCTTACACACATACGAACGAACAAATTTTACTCTCGCAGAGTACGACCTAGTCAAATCTTAGAACTTCTTTCTGAAAACTTGCTTTGGATTAGTAACTTTAATTACATGTTGGACCAGCGCTATCGCATTCCTCCCCCCCCCCCATTTCCCCATTTGTAATCGCTAGCTTTACTTTGGTCAAATTAGAGGTGTAGAACGCTTTGAGAAGCCAATGTAAGGAAGATATAGGAAGGCAGCGCGGCGCAATAGTTCATTAATCACCGTAGTTCACCCAACAGTGACCCATCTTCATTTTGAAAGCAGCCCAGAGTGTTGTGACAAGGCTGATAAGAACTGCAGTGCTTTTTTTCGTTTTATATTACAGATCAAGGGTCTATTCCAGTTAGGGGGCATCATGATGCAGTTTCTCGGCGAACTAGTGTGAACTCGAACATTCCAGCTTTTCACGCATGTCAAGTGACTGCCCTCACCCCCACCCCCCTAGACTGGCTACACTCCCCCTGGCTCGGAGTTACCGTAGCTTTTTGGGAGTCACTGCACCATGATGCCCCCCTAACTGGAATAGACCCGAGATCAAATTCTGGAGATTTGTAAAGCAAACAAAAGGCTAATTCATGGAATCTTATTGTGACTAAAAAAGTGAAGAGCTGCTGATATACCTTTGTTTAGTGCACGCTGATTTTGTCGCAGAAGCTCAGCAGGTGTTTTTCTTCGACCGAAGAGGTACTCCATCTGAAAAGCAAAGTATGAGAACAGAAATTAACTGATTAAGGCAACGTGGTCTAAAACCGCAGCGTAACCA